CCCCAAAACCCCAAAACCCCAAAACCCCAAAACCCCAAAACCCCAATTTCAGAGAGATAATTGAAGAATAGTGGCTATTTTATATAAAATATAAACGCGCTAAGATGGAGAAAAAGAAAAATTTTAGAAGAAAGAGAGGGAACAAGCATGGAAAGACAAACTGGGCCCAAAGAAGGAAAATGGCTAAGAATAGACAGGGAGGGGACTCTAAAGATCAAACTGGAGTAGATATGAGAGATATTTATCCCCAGAAAGAGATGGTGCTAGATAATGTCAAATTTGACCTCTATTATCGAAGACTACTTGATCCTCTCTTCAAATCAAATGGAGCTACAACTCCTGAAGAGATAGTGGCTAATAAGGATGCTGATTTTGAAGAGTTCAGAGCAAAGCTGAAGGAAAAACTTCCTATTACATTTAGAGTAAACCCTTCATGAATTGGATACGAAGCTGTGACTGACTTACTCTCATCCGACACTTTCATAAAAGACTGGGCTGAGAAAAATAAGGACAACCCCGATATGCAAGCAAAGGAGAGTAAAGAACAAGTGCTCACAACTGAAGAGATGGAGAATTTGAAGTTTAAACTATTCGATTTCTATCCAGACAAACTCCTTTATGAACTTCCATTAGCAAGAGAGGTCCTTAGAAAGGATCGTATTTTGGCATCTATTCATAAATTTGTCCAAAAGAGTAATGACTCAGGCCTACTCACTAGACAAGAGATTGTGAGTATGATCCCTCCTTTGTTACTGGATGTCAAGCCTCATCATAAGATATATGATGCCTGCGCTGCCCCAGGAAGTAAGACAGCACAGTTGTTAGAGTTCGGACTTAAAGAACTTCACGGTAAAAATGTCACCCTGAATCCTGGATTTGTGATAGCAAATGATGCAGATGACTCAAGAGCAAACATGCTTGCTCACCAGATGTCAAGATTTAACTACGGATGCATTGGTAAAGTAAATAGTTAATCATCATAGTGAACCATGATGCGCAAAATTTCCCAACACTTCATTACCAGGCAGGGACCTCCGCTTTCAAATCGCTTGATATATCTAACTTTGATAACAGAGTGTATTTTGATAGAATAGTTTGTGACGTTCCTTGCTCCTCAGACGCTGCAATTAGAAAGATTCCAAAGAAATGGGAGACTTGGGATCCAATTGATGGTGCAGCTTTGCACCCACTCCAGTTAAAGATCCTCCTCAGATCTCTATTAATGCTAAAGCCAGGGTCAGAGGATTCCTACCTGACATATTCGACCTGCTCGTTGAACCCAATCGAGAACGAAGCTGTTGTCTATGCAGCCTTGAAGAAACTCAATGAGCATGGAGAGAATGGAGAAGAATTCGAAATTGTTGACTGTAGAGATAAACTAACCTCCTTCAAAACAAGACCAGGGCTCTGAAAATGGAAAGTTTATGACTCCATTTCTCGCCAAAGTAGAAGAAGAGCCAAGAAAGAGGCTGCTAAAGAAGAAGATACTAAGAAAGAAGGAGAAAATGATGAAAAAGACCAATCTAAAGAGGAGGAGAAGAAGCTTGAAAAAGCTAAAGAATATAAAACTGCCTCTTTCGAGGAATATTTCCGTGAATATACCACTCATGATGGCATTCAAGATGAAAATAGGAAGAAGAAGTTTAAACCAAGCTTCTTTCCCCCTGAAGGAACAGAGGAGGAGATTGAAGCCAAGTACCATTTGAGCAGATGAATCAGAGTCTTCCCAAATGACCAAGACACTAGTGGATTCTTTATTGTCTTATTTAGAAGAAAACCATTAACTAGAGTACAAACAGAGACTGCTGAAGAGGTTAAGAAAGCAGAGGATGAAAATACGGTTGTTCCCGTTCAGAAACCATTAACAAATATGATGCGTTGCGATCCTAAAGACCCAGATATTGAGTTTATTCAATCCTATTATGGACTTACTGAAGATTTCCCTCTTGACCAGATATTCACATTCTCAACAAGTATGAACAAGCTTTTGATGATCAATAAGGGACTTTCAGACTTGCTATACGCTGATCAGGATAAGTCACTGAATCTCATAGCTGGAGGAGCCGAAACTTTCATTAGAAACACTTCCAAAAAATTCAGTGGAACAGAGTGAATCTATCGTATCTCCCAAAATGGAATCTACCATGTGTATCCATTCATGACAAAACGTATCTTTTATGTAAACATGGAGACATTCTTATTGGTTCTAAACAACGATAGGATCCAAATAGAGAATATCCCTGAAGGTGACTTCAAAAACGAGATAGATTCTCTCTCATGAGGATGCTTCGTAGTTGTTGTCAAGATCGATGAAAACAGGGAGGAAGCATTGACTCTTCACAGACACCATGCACACATTAACATTATGGTGAGCGAACTCAACCTTCACAGAATCAGAACTTGCCTCAATAAGCATTTTTAGATGGATAATATCGATTGTTTAAAAAGATATCTCTAAATTATTCAGCAGCACATGCTTTTGTTATATTCAGCCTGTTTCAAACTAGTATTTCTGTTCATATTAAGCCTACAGGTTTGTTCACAATTTCTTTGCTAATTTGGTCTTAAAATTCTGCTCCAAACCCCCATTCTTCAAGAATAAATTTTAAGCATATTCTCTAAAACTAGTGAGGGAAATTTGTGATAAATCCTTCAATTTTTCAACTCCAATACCGTTCTCGACCATTTTACTTAACAGACGCCCTCGCATGACTTTATATCTGTTAGACATAAACTCTATGTAAGATCTGGGAGGTTCCCTGCGGCTGAACGAGTAACGACATCTCCCCCTCTTTTAACTCAATAGAATAATTTCAGTAATTATATAATTCATAGGGGTTTTGGGGTTTTGGGGTTTTGGGGTTTTGGGGTTTTGGGG